TTTGAGCAGTGAAAGTGTTCAGAAGATGAAAAATAGAATTGCAAAAGTAGTCAACTCAACCACAAATTACGTTACAAAAAAAAATAAGAATCAAGAAAAATAATATTTCAAATAAAAAATTTAATTATTAATTATATATATTATTTATGGAACTATGTTTAATATGTATTAATTAATATATATTTACATAATATTAATATTTTAGTAAATATATTTGAAAATAAAAAAAAAATTACTTCATAAATCTTTAATATGTATAAATAATATATACTATTTTTGTCTACTTGATAAAATTATATAATTTAAGGCACATTACTGTGAGTAGATTCTGGGCATAATATCTTAATCTGATTCTGGTATAATTTCTCAGATGAAAAATTAATTTGAACTGTTTTATAAAAAATGTTAAACAAAGAAAAAATGTAATTAGATTTCCAAAAATGTTTGTTCAAATCCCAACTACCCAATTTCTACAGCCACAGTACTGCACCAGTACTGATATATATAAAAACGGTAGAACAGTGCGGACGTGGCATAGTTGGGACAAGTGTAGATGAAACCTGATAGTGATTAAAATCACTATCATAAGAAACGCTTTGATGTAAATCTGTAGATAGTGTTTAATTTTAAGAAGTTGGTATATTATACCAAGAGCAAAATGAATTTCTATCTCCTTTATTATTTCTGATTAGTAGTTTTTTGATTTAGAAGTTGTATTAAATAGCTGAGGAAGTATTAAATAACTTCGATATTAGTATAGTGTAAGTTTTTCCCACAGTAGTAAGTAATTTTTAAATTCTTGTAATATAATAATGTCATATAAAGTGAAAATGCAAGGTAAGCATATTTATAATGGTGGGAAAAAGAATATATAAAGGGAAACATAAAAAGTATAGGGGGATTGACGTTTTGGCTAAAAAACATCTTATTACGGGTCAGGACGTTTGGTGTGTAAAGCTTATATTGTGTTACATTATTATATTGTATTTTGTTTTTGTGTTTATTACGTTCCGTTAATAAAATAACTAATTTGGGCTTAACCGTCCTTAAGTAGATATGGTGAAAAGGTAGTTGTGCTGATGGCTGACGAAGAGCCGTCCTTCAGTCTGCTACTTTTGAGCTAAACTATTGCTGACGGGTCTAAAACCTAGCCCTTTAGTGGTTCATTAATTGGAGGGATTGGGACTGACCAGTGTATCCTACGGGAGGAATCGAGAAGAGCCAAAAACGATGAACTCGTTGTTAAAAGTATTAGTTAATTTGTGTACTATTTTTTTGTCTACGTCGGGGTACTACCCACGTACGACAAAGTATAATATATGAATAAATATTTGTTATAGCAAATAAATTAGTATGGCATTGATATTTAATGATTTAGTATTGTAATTTTTTTAGTGAATTTATAAAAAATTATACAGTAGTTATACTTTTATGATAAACGTCTATAAAAATTCAAGAGCTTGATACAGAATTTTTTAGATAATAATTTGTTGTTAATTATATATAAAAGGTCTGCAAAAAAATTTCATTTGAGTCAAAAATATACTTTTATTATTTAATTTTTTGTGCTAATTTCAAATCAGCAATTATGTTTTCTATCACCAATAATTTTTTATATTATTACTAATTAGTTAAAAACTATAGGATATAAGTATAAGGAAAATAGTTCTGAATATTTCAATTGCATCATCTATTTAAACAACAAGAGTTACACAGAAATTATTAATATTTCTTTTGAATTGATTTATTACAATAAAAAAATAATTAAAAACACAAAAAAATCGTTTTTAAATTATTACAGATTTTGATATTTTAATATTTTAAAAATAATCAGTGCAAAATATCATTTTTAACCTAATTTTTTGGTGTGTTAAACTTGATTTTTTGAATTTTATTCATTAAAGTTATATTTTATAAAAAAAAATAAGTTAATACCCCTATTAAATATAAGAGATGATCCTGAAAAAAATTTTACTATAGATAAATGGATCAATAAATCCACAAAAAAGTTTTTATGATAAGAGAGATAGAGTGGCTATTGACAAAATAATAATTCTGTATAGAAATTGTGGCGATATGTTTAATTGTTCTTGAGCATTACCAATGTCAATGATTAGACTGTTGAAAATTATGAAGAAAATTCAATTTAAATTCAAAATGAAATTCAAGATGATATTTTAATAAACCTTTTATATTGTATCAAGTTGTCAACAAATTTGAAGTATAATAGACAAGTTAATAATTTAATAAATGCAGTCAATAAACTAAACAATAGTAAATTAACTTTATGGTTGGAATCTACTATTATATCATACCCGAGTAAACAGTAAATGTATATTTTACATACATTAGAAATAAAGGATTTCATTTAATTATATGAAAATCTAAAACTAAGTAATTTTTCAATTGATATTTGTCTGCCCATATGTGCTATGAAAAAACAAACAGGTTTAAAATATTAATACTGTAATGAAATTTCAAAAAATTAAGAAAGTAGAAATTTAAATATAACAGGAGATAAGTATAATTTTATACAATCATTATACCATGGAATATAATGAAACATTAGGTTATTGTAATTATAAATGTTGAGGATAATGAGTGTTATACAGTGGATATATCCAACTAAAAATAATGAACATATTTAACGAAAATTTTAAAAAAATTACATAGTATAATAAATAATATTGTATAATGGTTGAAAATATCCCTAAGTTTTCAATGGTTAAATGTAATCCTAAAAACTTATTTTAACAAATTTATTCTTATAAATGCGTAGTGTATATAATTTTAGCTTCGCAAAAATATATTCAACTGTACAAATAATGATCGATAATACCAAAGAATATACTCAGATTTCATTAAAAAATGATAAAGTACCTAAACGATAATTTTTTTGTAAAAAAAATAATACGGTTCTTATAATTTTTTTTATTCGATTAAATGTTTGTTTTTTCAAATTGATTGAAGATTTAGATTAAAATTGAAGAAATTCATAACTAATTTGGTTTTCATATCAACAATAATCTGTTGCAATGGGCCATAAATTAATTTTATGGTAGTTATCAAACATTTTTTCCACACTAGTCGTTCAACAATCTATGATAGTAAACTTATATAGAATTACACAATATAATATATTTTATATTAAATTGTACGAGAATTGTGTTCAGAAAATAACACGAATTTTCGTTTTTTGAAATAAATATTTATTTGTTCATCTACGTTATTGTTGTCGCCTTCAAAAAAGTCCGCATTAGATATTATACACTTATGCCAACGTTTATTTCGATCTTCGAAACACTTCTCAAACTCAATCTTTGGGATAACCTTCAGCTCATTCAGAGATACGCTTTTAATGTCATCTATGCTTGTATAAAGACATAGATTATACGGGGGCATTGTTACAGTATTGTTTTTGGCTAAAAGTTCACGAACAAGCAATGAAATGTGAGCAGGTGCATTATCATGGTGCAAAAGTCATGAATTATTTTGTCACGATTCCAGGCGTTTTTTCGGATTGCTTCTCGCAAACGGCGTTGAACTTGTAGGTAGTACTCCTCATTGACTGTTTGACCTCGTGACAAGAATTCATGATGCACTATGTTATTAAAATTGAAATGAGCATAAACTTCACGTTCGATCGCGCTTGTCGAGCCTTTTTTGGTCTTAGGGTCCAGAAAGCCTCCACTGAGACGATTGAGCCTTGACTTCGACGTCGTATCCATAAGCCAATTTTTCGTAACCTGTTATAATGCGTTTCAGTAATTCTGCTTCGTCGTTGACTTCATTAAGTGACTCCTGAGCAACTTCCATTCGTCGCTGTTTTTGTCCAAAATTCAATAATTTTGGAACATATTTTAGTGGTACGCGTTTCATATCCAAGACATTCGAAAAATTTTCATGGCATGAGCCAATCGATATTCCAACATCATCAGCGACTTCTCTGATTATGACTTGACGATCGTTAATAACTGTTTCTTTTACTTTTTCCACGTTTTCATTTGTTGTTGATGTACTGGGGCGTCCTGGACGTTCATTAGCTTCAACGTTTTCACAGTCATCTTGGAAACGCTAATACCACTCATAAACCCTTGTTTTACTCATGTCAGATTCACCATAGGACTTTGTTAACATTTCACACACTTTATTTCATTTTTTACGAGAAATATCGCCGTTGGGTCCATATATTTTCCGAGATACATCAAAATACCGTTCACAACATATCGTTAGTCTACTACTTGCATTTCAATTGGCCCTTTCAATATTCAACATTATCATCCGCCGTTTCAACTAGCCGATAAGTAAAATGTTTGTTAATCCTCTTTCTAAGACTTACTAATTTCTATAATTTATTATTTGTTTATATCAGCGCCATTGTGGCATTAGTATTAAGTGCCCCCCTATCCGCATTGGAGTTTATAAGACTTTATGATTTTTGTATAACAAATTTAATTGTTATAATTATATATTGTAAAATTCATTCAAACAGTCCATCCACCTTATTCCTTATCCATGACATAGCCAAAGACTTAAGACAAAATAAAACCACGAACGTTAATGAACCCGCGCGAATACCACCGGGGACTGCGTTCATTCGATATAAACCTTTGTTTTTATAATGATATGTAATAAAATAATTTATTTTTGCCCTATCATGGTTACATGATTAAACTGAATTCAATATAAAATTTATCTAATTAAGAAATAACTTTTATTGTTGTTAGGCTGCGTTATCTCATTAAAAGTGAAAAATTAATTAAATATCTTACTGGATCTTTTACATTAAAATCTTATCAAAATTCACAAAAAAAGGTTATAATATAAATAGTAAAATATTAGAATATTATGAAGATATATTGACTCATGAAACAAATTATTAAAATTAATAAAGTTAAAATATATTTACAATATTAAATAAATTTGTATTTACTATTCAGAATGACGCACACAAAATTAATACTAGATATTTTTGTTAACAGATTATCACCTATAAATTTAACATATTTAATTTAAATTTTTAAATTTTTTTATGAACTAGTTTTATGAATTTATACATCTTTACAAGTAAGTACAATAATTATTTTATTTATCTATTTTTTGTAGATAAAAAAAATATATTAAACAAATTTTTATCATAAAGTAGATATAATCATTAAATAACTTAAATCATTAGAATTAAACTCCACTATTTTGTAATATAAATTTTAGCTTCGATGAATTTTACTATGATGTGTTTTTTTTTATGTCCGTTTTTCTCTTGAATTAATTGAATCTTAAATTAATGCTAATGTAATATACTTTATCATGGAAAAAAAAATTTTAAACTTTATTTTGTTTTCACGGTGAAAATGGCTATCGAATGCTATTTTTGTGTGAAAATTCTCGACTTTATTATTTAAATATTTAACTCTATAATGCTATAACTTATTGAAAAGTGTATGGATCAACACAATTTTTTTATGAGAAATAATACATATTTTTTTTTTATAGTGATTTTAATCTTTAATCTAATACTTGATCCAACTATGCCACGTCACCACTGTGCCGCGCCCCCCCTGTACTGGGTTTTTTCTAAATCTGTATATATATTTTATATCATATACATGAATTCCTAATTTTATTATGAATTGTTTTCTTTGCACTACTAAGATGTATTTATTGTGTTATTCAAACGTAGACAATTATAATAATATTATAGACAGAGTGTGATGCTATACTTTGTGTAATTATATTACACTAGGTCAAGTATAGATGAAACCTGACATTAATTACCTCATTATCATAAAAAAATGATATAATGTGAATTTGTTAAAGATATTTAGAGTAAACTGTGTTAAAAGGGCAAACTTTTTCTTCTATTACATATAACTTATAGTATATGATAATTATAAACAATGTTAACTTTTTTAAGCTAGACAAACTATTAAAAAAAAAACCTAGCACAGGGGGGTCGCGACACAATGGTGACGTGGCATAGTTGAGTCAAGTATAATGATATCTGACAGTGATTAAAATCACTATCATAAAAAACGCTTTGATATAAATCTTTAGATAGAGTTTAATTTTAAGAAATTGATGGATTATTCAAAAGCTATACTATATCCTATTTCCTTATTTATATCCTCATTAAGATAAAGTATGTCGAATGAAGAAGGGATATAAATATTATTTCTCATAAAAAAATTTTATTGATCCATACACTTTTCAATAAGTTAAAAAACCCAGCACAGGGGGGTCGTGGCACAGTGGTGACGTGGCATAGATGGATCAAGTATAATGATATCTGACAGTGATTAAAATCACTATAAAAAAAAAACGCTTCGGTGCAAATCTTTAGATAGTGTTTAATTTTAAAAAATTAGTGGATTATTCCAAAAGCTACATGATCTGCTAGTTCATTATTAATATCCTAATTAAGATAAAGTATGTCGAATAAAAAAGGGATTATTAAAAAATATTATTTCTCATAAAAAAATAATGTTGATCCATACACTTTTCAATATGTCATAGCATTATATAGTTAAAAATGTAAAAAATAAAATCGAGAATTTTCACATAATAATAGCATTCGGTAGACATTTTCACCATGAAGATAAAATAAAGTCCGAAATTTTTTTTGCCATAATAAAGAAAATTACATTAGCTTTAATTTAAGATATATATAAAAATGTCAGACCTTCCGGAACATTTTCAAAAGTTAATTTGAAAAAGTTAATTTTTTGTGAAAAAGTTGTCATTTTAAATCCCCCCTTGTGGGCAGGTTAAGGGTTAAATTTATGAAAAAAATATACCAAACGAAAGGTAATAATATTATGCATCTATATAAAATTGTATTGATTCGATTATTTTTAAAAAAGTTATAGCAACTTTAAGTAAAAAAAATTGAAAAAATTTCGAAAATTAGCGATATTTAAATTTGTAATTTTTTTGGAGGTTTCCCCCATTTACGGGGAACGAGGGAAATTTTTTCAATTTTGAAGGGTAATGTCTTCGACTAGATACGATTTGTGATCTTTTGACGTATCGTTGAAAGAAATCCNTTGAGGGTAATGTCTTCGACTAGATACGATTTGCGATCTTGACGTATCGTTGAAAGAAATCGGTTCAGTGAGAGCTGAGGAAAAGTGGTAACAGACACAAAAAAAAAACACATCATAGTAAAAATAATACCTTCTCAGCTTCGCATCGAAGCTAAAATACAAATTAAGTATTAGAGAAAGAATATAATTCTTTTTAATGAGTAATGAATTGAATAAAATGTAAAATAAAATCGTATTCTTACACTATTCATGGGGCAAGACTCTAGTTAGTATTAAAAAAGTTCTAACGAGCAAATCAATATGTAAATATCTGCTTAACCAGGTATTTTTTCTCTTAATTCCAAAATAATCACAAAGTTTATTGAAATTAGTAATTTTGCAATTGAATATCATAATATGTAATTCTTCTTCTTCTTCTTTCTCGTCTTAATCCCAACTACTTGGGGTCAGCCACCCTTATACTAAACTTCCACTTGACACTATCTCCCAAATCCTCTACGCTCACATAAGCTGTCTTCAAATCGCATTAAATAACATCTCTCCATCTCTTTTTTGGTCTTGCTCTACCTCTTCTTCAATCAACATTTATTTCTATAACTATTCTTACAGCTTCAACTGTTTTTAAATTTTTCTTACGATTCTTCTCTTCTCATAACATGACCAAATCATTAATTCCAAATTTTTTCTCACTTTTTTAAAATTTAAAAACTTTTAATTTAATCTTGTATCTGTTATGAATTTTCTTTAGATAACAAAAATTAAAACCAAGATAAACAAAATGCAATTATTCAAGATAGTTTTGTTTTCCGTATTCATTTTTATGGTAATAATTATAGTTATATATGTAATAACAGAACTATGTTTCCTATAAATACTAAAGAAAATATTTTGGGGTTACAGTTATTAAATGAAACTTATACATCTGGTTCAAATTCCAGTTTAGAATTAAGTGAACAGTCAGAGGAGGATACAACAAATGAAAAAAGTAACGAAGACAACGAAGAAAACGACTCTTCTTCGAGTAAGAAATGATATTTACATTTTTTCGTTAGTTGTATATAAACTTCTGTATATAATGTAATTTGATCGTAATAAGTTGAGGTAGCTCAATTAAATTTAAAAACTCATTCGATATGAATATATTTTTATTTTATTATTAATTCTTACAATAATAAACAATACTTTTTATCTTTTACCAATTGGAATCAAGTTATCAAGTAGCATTACTGCCCAGTTTTAAATTTATTTGGTAATTTTTTTTTTAAGAGATTTTATTTAAAGCTTAAAAATTGTCTACTAGCATTACTTTACTTAACATAAAATTATTTGTTTTAAGCTATACATTACTAAATATGTAGTGATGTATTAAATATGCACAATGGTGCTATTTTTGTATTATGTGCTTGAAACAAAATTTAAGTATTTTTAGTCCTTCAATTATAATAAAATAGTTGTATGCTAATTCATATAAATTATAATTATTCCTTTACATGTATGAAAAAAATATACTTTTATATATTTATAAGTTTCAATACCTATCTTCTTAATTGAGCTATAAATTAGATTTTATTGAAATATTTCAGAATCGTCTAAAAAAAAAAAGAAAGCAGGTAATTTTTGTAAATATATGATCAGAATTNATCAACAAATAAGAAAGCAGGTAATTTTTGTAAATATATGACCAGAATTAAACTATTTTTATTTGACTTAATTATTGAACTAAATTTAATTTCCCCTTTATTTAAATTATTCTTTGGATGAATTAAATTTTCCTTAGTACTCCTATATCTACATATATAACTTTCTACATTCATTTATACATAAACGGAATGATTGATTTATCATAATAAATATGTAAACATTTTTTTATTGCAATAGTTTGTGACATGACAAAAAGGTAGCCTTTCAATTTTCTATACTTGTAGAGTTATATTTTAATTTATTTTGGATGAGCTGTCTTTGTGTGCGATGGCGTTTGATTTTTTATGTTTTGATAATTTGAAATATGTGTGTGGGCGTTAATTGTGTCATTTGTGTCATAAATACATCAATGAACAGATTGGCGAATATCGAATTGAGAACTCTCCACTCTCCACCCTGACTAGCTCTTTAATGCACTGAACACCATTTAACGTATCATTGTCTATTAAATTATCCAGCGTGGATTTATTATTGCATTATCTTGATTTTTTGTAATTTCGACTGATCTTAACCCCACACAAAGGATCAAGACCTCTAGGCGCCTTCGTCGGTCTGACTGGTATGATATGCCGGTTATCGGAAATTGGCTAGTATTGGAATTAGACGTGTAAATGTCCAACCGTGGTTGTTTTTTAGTTGTATGCGTAACAACATATGATTTAAAATTATATATAATATATATAATTTTTGATCATATATTTTCGTGAGTGACCGCATAATAACTATGTGAATTATGTATTGTTTCGTGGTGTCGGCAAAGACTACCTCCAGTTCCTTCGAGGATGGCAATGTATAATTTTAGTGTTGAATGTTTTAAGCCAATTTTAGCATCAATGCGAAGCTGAAAAATTATTAATTTTACTATGATTTGTGTTTTTTTTTGTGTGTCTGTTACCACTCAATCTCAGCTCTCACTGGATCGATATTGATGAACAATACGTCAAAAGATCACAAATTGTATCTAATCGAAGACATTACCCTCATATATTGAAAAAAAATTTCCTCGTTCACCATTAATGAGGGAAATTCTCCAACAAATTACAAATTTAAAAAAATGCTAATTTTTGACATTTTTTCAATTTTTTTTCGTAAAACTGCCATAACTTTTTTAAAAATGAACAAATCAATATAACTTTTTTTTTATAGATACTTTAGGTATTTACCTATCATTTGACATATTTTTGTGAATATTTAGCCCTTTACCAGCCCATCGGCCATTTTATTCAAAATGGCAACTTTTTCACAAAAAATTAACTTTTTCAACTTAATTTTTGAAAATGTTCCGGAAGTACTGACATTTTGATATATACCTTAAATTAAAACTTATGAAATATTCTTTATTTAAAAAAAAAAAAATTTGACAATAGATTTGTCTTCGTGGTGAAAATCGCTACCGTATGCAAAAATATACTATTTTTGTAAAAAAATTCTTGATATTATTTTTTACATTTTTTAACAATATGTTGCTATAACTTTTTAAAAAATGTATGACTTAATTCTATTCTAATGATAAATATTTTATATATACCTCTTTCATTCGACATACTTTTTTTTTCAAATCGGGCCATTTCCGATAGGGGGGTTCAAACCTTTAAAAATGAGTATAGAAAGTAGAACTTTTTCAACTTAACTTTTGAATATATTCCGAAAAGACTGACACTTTTATATATACCTCAAAATAAAGCTTATGTAATATACTTTAATTAAAAAAAAAAATTGATCTCTGGATTTGTCTTCATGGTGAAAATAACTACCGTATTAAAAATATGCTATTTTTGTGTTAAAATTCTGTGTTTTGTATTTTATTTTAAAATACCTGACAAGGGGAGTACAATGATTTTTATAAATATTATATAAATCAAAATAATATTACATAGAAAGTTTAACTTATTTAAATTGTTTTGCTTTATTTAAGTCGAGAAAAATAACTTTCTAACAAATAACTAATCGGGATAAAATTAAGTGAATAAGAGTTATTATTGTTTTTGAAATAATCTTCAAATTTTAAAAATTAAACACTATCTACAGATTTGCATCGAAGTATTTCTTGTGATAATGTTTCAATCACTGTCAGGTATCATCTACACTTGTCCCAACTATACCGTGTCTATACTGTACCGCAACTCCATTGTACTACCGCTTTTTTCTTAAAACTACCTTAACTTTTCAAAAATTGACATATAAAAAATTTTTTTTTTTTTGAAATAGAAACCTTAGGTATTTTACTTTTATTTGATATAATATTTTTTTTATTCTTACAAATTTTAAAAAATATAAAATTTACTTATGCCTAATTTTCTTTAAAAATCCTACAGTAGTCTAATTATATATTGTCCTGCCCAGTAAGTTAATGGCACACGTTTTCTTACGTTCATAACGCTGTGAAAGTTACCAGTTAATAATTTGATTTTTTTATTATAATTGTAACCTTTCAAGCTAAAGAAAAAACTGAAAATGAAAGATGAAATTAGGAAAGATATTTTTTTTTGTTATTTAAAGCATAAAGTGTACTTGCACTATCTGACATAAAATTATTATGAAGTATTACATTTTCATTAAATATGCTAATTGATTTTCAATTACTCGTTTTTAATTTTTGGCCTTACATTGCAAAGATAATCCATTTATAATTTGAAACTATTTTTGTGATATAACGACACATTTGTAAATTTCATTACTTATTTGCTTAATTGAGTAACAAATCACGTTTTATTGAAAATTTCAGCTTCCAAATCAAGTAAGAAGAAATCAGGTAATTTTTTTATATACATGATAAGAAATAAACTATTTTTATTTTGCTTAACTATTAAACTAATTTTAGTTTCCCTTTACATAAAATTGTTCTATTAATCAATAAAATTTTTTACAATTCACCTATACCAGTTATTCCTAACCTACAATACTCATTTATACATATACAGAATTATCTTTTTACCATAATGAATAAAAAAAAAATTTCAATTGCAATAGCAAAAGAAAAAAGTGATTAATAAAATTAGGAATGTTTTTTTTGTCGTTAATTGTATATAAACTTCTGTATATAATGTAATTTGATCGTAATAAGTTGAGCTAGCTTAATTAAATTTAAAAACTCATTCGGTATGAATATCTTTTTATTTTATTATTAATTCTTACAATAATAAACATTACTTTTTATCTTTTACCAATCGGAATCAAGTTATCAAGTAGCATTACTGCCAAGTTTTAAATTTATTTGGTAATTTTTTTTTAAGAGATTTAATTAAAGCTTAAAAATTGTCTATTAGTATTACTTTACCTAACATAAAATTATTTGTTTTAAGCTATACATTACTAAATATGTAGTGATGTATTAAATATGCACAATGGTGCTATTTTTGTATTATGTGCTTGAAATAAAATTTAAGTATTTTTAGTCCTTCAATTATAATAAAATAGTTGTTTGCTAATTCATATAAATTATAATTTTTCCTTTACATGTATGAAAAAAATATACTTTTATATATTTATAAGTTTCAATACCTATCTTCTTAATTGAGCTATAAATTAGATTTTATTGAAATATTTCAGAATCGTCTTAAAAAAAAAAGAAAGCAGGTAATTTTTGTAAATATATGATCAGAATTAAACTATTTTTATTTGACTTAATTATGGAACTAAATTTAATTTTATATATTATAATTTTTCCTTAATACGTATATAGAATTTATACATTTATAAGCTTCAATATCTATCTTTTTAATTGAGCTATAAATTAGATTTTATTGAAATATTTCAGAATCGTCATCAAAAAAAAAGAAAGCAGGTAATTTTTGTAAATATATGACCAGAATTGAACTATTTTTATTTTATTTAACTATTGAACGAATTCATTTTTTCCTTCACATAAAATTGCTCTATAGATCAATAAGATTTTCTGCATTACTTCTATACCATCATTCCTAACCCTTTTTATTAATTTATACATATACAGAATAATCGTTTTATCATAATGAATAAAAAAAAAATTTTATTGCAATAGATAAAAAAATGATAAATGAAATTTGGCATATGGTTTATTTCGTTAGTTGTACATAAATTTCCGTGTATAATATAATTTGCTCGTAATTAGTTGAACTAGCTCAATTAAATTTAAAAGTCAATTTGACTTTCTATTTTTATTAATTGATAATTCTTCCAATAATAAACATTAATTAATTAATCATCTTTTACAAAGTGGACTCAATATATCAAGTAGCGGTTCCAACAAATTTCAAGTTTATATGGTTAATGCTTTTTTTAAGAGACTCAATTAAAGCTTAAGGATGTCTACTTGAATTACCCTTTCTTAATTATTTGTTTCAAGTTATATATTACAAAAGATGCAGTGAAGTATTTAATTTTCATTAAGTATACATAAAGAGTTGCTACTTGTTTTTCAATTACTCGTTTTTAATTTTTGGCTTTTTCTTGCAAAGATAATCCATTATAAAATTGTAGCTATTTTTGTAATATAACAACATTATGTGCTCGAAACAAAATTTAAGTATTTTTAGTCCTTTAATTATAATAAAATAGTTGTTTGCTAAATCATATAAATTATAATTTTTCCTTTACATGTATGAAAAAAATATACTTTTATATATTTATAAGTTCTAATACCTTTCTTCTTAATTGAGCTATAAATTAGATTTTATTGAAATATTTCAGAATCGTCATCAAAAAATAAGAATGGAGGTAATTTTTGTGAATATATGACCAGAATTCAACTATTTTTATTTGACTTGTCTGTTGAACTAATTTCCGTTTCCTCTTTCACGAAATTGTTCTATTGATCAAAAGTCAACTCGATCATTTTCAAAATAAATTTCAAAATTACAGTACTAAAATATTAAAACTTGATCAGTTTAGTTATACATGTATATATTTCTTTTTTTATCAGTTATTAATTACTTTTTAGAATCAATTCATAGGAGTTTTTATTTTATTTTTTAAAATGACAGAAAATTATTTAATTAAAAAAATGATCAGTCGATAACAATATTTAGATCAGTTCTTTGCAAGTTATTCTAATTTTTGTATCTAGCCAGAAGAAGAATGCGGTCAAGAAATGTGTAATGATAAAATAGCAGCAACCGTGCTTTATCTCCAGTCTATATTTTAAATTACTTATAATTTCTTAATACCTTGTACAAAAATTTAGATGTTAAAACAAATGAAGTTGACACTGCTATAAGTTATTAGGAATGATCAATAATGTTATTATACGTGATGAATTGAGAAATACTATAATTAAAAATTATTTTTCAATTTTGCATTTATTTTGCTTGTTATCACGTGGCGCAAGATAAACCGATCATCTTATTTATACACTATGATTTAATAAGTTCTTTTTATTATTATTTTTTTGAGATATAGTTGTATGAGGTATTATAAAACTATTTTTGGCCACTAATTTAAGGGTAACATTTAAAATTTAAGTAGAAAACTATTGCTTTTTTTTATACTGCATGGAAAATTGTTAAAATAAAATTTTTTCTGGTCTATAAACAGTTTTAAATTATCATTTTTTGAGTTGTTATAATTTTTAATTATTGGTAAGCAAAGTTTCAACGCATATAATTTCTTATCTGTGCAATTTAGTAAAAATAGAGCGTTAAAAACTACCCCAAATAACTATATTTCAAAAAATAATAATAACAAATTACTTATCTACTAGTCTAAATATTATTTAGACTATTCTTTATTGAATTCTATGCAAAAATAATAGGTTCCCATTTAACTTTTGATAGTTAACCTTAAAATATATTTTAAGAATAATTTTTTCTTACAATTAATTTTTATTTACAATGATTTAAATAAATAAATAAAATTTTAATCTATAATTTTTTATGATGAAATTATTATTTAACGATAAAATTAGGGATAGTATACTTGATAAATCATACTATATATATATATATTAATTATTATTTAATATTTTAGATTCTAAATTAAAAAAAACACTGGATGTTGCAAACTCAGTAATAAAATGTACTAAAAAAGGTGTGTAATTACCTCCTCAATTTACATGTTTTATCATTATTTATGTTGACATAAATAATTTTAGTTAGCAATGATCAATTGGATAATATAAAAGAAGGTGTGAACAAAGTAACCAGTGCAACTTCAACATGCTTCAATAGTTGTCGTGATGTGTGTGATGTGTGTGGTGATATGTGTTGTGGTATGTGTGATTAATAGAATTATAATCTAATATAAATAAAAAAATATTACTTGTGTTCTTCACAAGTATTCACATATATAATGTGAATATATTCACATTACTATTTGAGGAAATATATTTAACATGTATTTATCAAAATAAATCCAATGTTATATTAATATTTTAATAAATATTTCTATTATAAGAATATAAAAATCTTCAATGCATATGTGTAAATCATTTTTCCTATTTTATCAGTTTAATAAAATAATATCTTTCACAGTAATTCATTATAGTGTAAACTAGGTTAATTTTTGATGAGATTAAGACACCAAAATTTTGTCTTACTTAAGGAGGATTTTTTGAGTAATTCGCCGCCAAAATTCACCAGAGATCGCAAATGGATGTGCTCTATAGTATTGGAAGTATAACTGAAACGGAACGTTAACTACTTCAAAGTCATGGTAAAATTAGTGATGGGAAATATCGAATAGTAGTCCACTATTCGAACTATTCGATAGTCATTCAAAAATTATTCGAATAGTAAAAATATTCGATAGTTACACATATATTCAAATATTTATAAAAACTATTCGGTACCTCCATTCGAATATTTTTAAAAATATTTGATAGCCTATTCGAATAGTTTTTAAAACTATTCGGTAGCTCCATAAGAATAGTTTTTAAAATATTTGAAAATGCCCATCACTAATTTTTTTTATTATTAATTGTATCCTATTTATAATCGTAGTGCCCTGAATAAACAGTTTTAAACAATCTTATTTAGTCGTTAGTGTTATTAAAACAGCAAAACTATAAATCTGACTATAATTTTACATAAGACCAATGTTTTAAAAAATTTAACTTGAAATATTTTTTTTTACGAAACCTTTTTTTGTAAAATGATTATTTTGAGAATTAAGAATGATTTATATTCAAAAAATGAATTTTAGTAAATTATTTTATTTTATTTTTTTAAGCAAATAAAAAAAACTTTAGAAAATGTTTGTGAATATAATTTTAGAAAAAAATATTAAAATCTATAATTTGTATTCTATACATTATTACGCTAAGTGTTCAATGATTAAGCGACTAATAAAAATAGTTCATATAATATTTAAAGAGGAGCAGTATTTATTGTTGTCGCCACTTTTATAAATGTAAAAATTTAAAACGCGCTGTCCTCTTTATCGGTGTTATGCCTTTATATGACAACGAGCAGGTAATGATAAACTAAGAACAGTATACAAGGTATTAAGTGTAAAATAAGACTTTAGTATTTACGAATACTTCTGTTGCGCATAGAACGATCCTTTCCGATAAAACTGAAAATANGAACGAACCTTTCCGATAAAACTGAAAATACATCATTAGTCATCGGAAAAAAGAACTGCTTTTTAATTTTCAACCCATATTTATCAGTTTTTACCAACGACTTACAAACTAAAAATAAATAAAATAGTAGTTTTTACTGTTATTAATTGTATAATAATTTATTTTAAGTATTCGTTAATTATAATTAAAAAAAAAGATAATTATCTTCTTATTATAATTAAGTGTACTTAATAAAAATTTTAGTTAGAACTAATCGAATATTTTTTGAAACCATTCGCTAGCCCATTCGAATATTTTTAAAATCTATTCGATAGTTTAAAATATTCGAAAATGCCCATCACTAGGTAAAATTCTTAAAACCCCTTTTTTTTCTCTGATTGACATTCTCTAGACATTACTTCTGAAAGACCCGCACCGTCGTGTTGTTATTCGGCTCTTGATTAAGTTGGCTCGAAGCACAACATGACGTGACATCTCCCGTTAGTCGAATACCAAAGTGGGAACCGTTGTAAGTGGGACAGAATTTTCTAAAAGGGGGGTTTAAAAATTTACAAAAACATACAACACAAATATATTCTAAGACGCTGGTTTAAACTATCATCTCAAATTCTCCTGAACGGGGTAGCCAGGCTACCACTGTTGTTGGCATTCGGCCGATTCTCTGCGATTCATGATCGCTTCAACGTACGCCTGGGTGAGAAACCTTACAGTCTACAACTCCCTATTATTAGATCTACCATGCGACCAAATTTTCAAAAGTAAACTGTTCGTGGAAAATTTGCTAATTTAAATCTTTTTCTGTGATCTGACATAGGGTCTGATTAAAAATACATATACATATATATATACAGAATGATTTTTTTATCATAACCCACTCAATTACTTACAGAATAATAATAATTAAAAATTTTTTTTTTATTACTATCTTTAGTTACACATTATTCTTGAATTATTAACTATGTAATACTTTTTAAGTTCATTCCTTATGCTTGGTAAGGGTGTCAACTTTGTTTTTTTAAATGGTAACACATATTTTTAATTTAATAAAATGTTTGAGTTTTTAATTCAATAATAAATGACATTTGAATTTTTAATAAAACTTAATTTGTTTATTAGATATAAACATTTAAAATTTCAAATTTTTGAGTTAATATATAGGTATAATACACAAGGGATTACAAATACAGGTAGCTAATTGGTTTTTTATGATATTGCTATCACAGTCACAAATTGTTTATTATCAATTACGACTATCAATAGATATACTTTTTGTATTGTCAGTTAGTGTATTTATAAACTCACAACAATGTACCTTACTATTATTGATAATAACAATGTTGTGTACCTGCTAATATCGATGTCATTTGATATTAAAATAATACCTCAAACATTTTATTAAATTAAAAATATGTGTTACCATTTAAAAAAACAAAGTTTACACCCTTACCAGGCATAAGGGATGAACTTAAAAAGTATTACATAGTTAATAATTCAAGAATAATGTGTAACTAAAGATAGTAATAAAAAAAAATTTTTTAATTATTATTATTCTGTAAGTAATTGAGTGGGTTATGATAAAAAAATCACCCTGTATATATACTACTGTGGGCAATAAATAGTGAGACTTTGTTCAAAATTTTAAAATTCTTTATTTATTCTTTCAAATCTATTTTATCCCCCTCAAATTAATACCCCCGTACCCAATACACTTATGCCAACGTTTTCTCCAATCCTCGAAACAGTTGTTAAAGTCAATTTCCGGAATAGCCTTCAATACGTGTTTAATATCTTCAATTGACTCAAAACGGTTTCCCCAGAACGTTCGTTTCAGGTTTCTGAACAATCAAAAGTCACATGGAGCTGACGAATATGGTGGTTGCGGAACGATATTGGTTGAATTTTGGCGAAAAACTCACGAAGAATCAATGCAGTATGCGACGGTGCATTGTCGTGGTGCAAAAACCAAGAGTTGTTGGCCCATAATTCCGGCCTCTTTTTACGAATAGCTTCGCGCAAACGACGAATAACACTTAAATAGTATTCCTTGTTGATAGTTTGGCCAGTCGGAAGAAATTCGGAGTACACCACATCTTGATAATCGAAAAAACTGTCAACATGACTTTGATCTGCTTTGACGTGGTTTTTTTGGCTTTGGCTCACCTTTGGCACGATATTCGGCCGATTGATCATCTGTTTCCGGGTCGTAAGCATAAATCCAAGACTTATCGCCAGTAATAATACGTTTTATGACATCCTGGTAGTCAGAAAGCATTGTTTCAGTCATCAAGGCGACGCTGTTTTTCTAAAAAATTGAATGATATTGGAACCAATTGTGCTTTTACTTTTCTTAGGCCCAAATGATCTTTCAAAATGGTTTTCACTGATCCTTCCGATATTCCAACGATACCAGTAAAGTCTCTGACTGTTAATCGTCAATTCTCGAACACCAATTCCTTGATTTTATTGACGTGTTGATCATCAGTTGATGTTGATGGCCATCCTGGACGTGGTTCGTCTTCAACGCGTTCACGACCCTCTTTGAACAATTTGTACCAATCAAAAACACCCGATCGTGACATACAATTATCACCGAAGACCTATTAACATTTTGAACGTTTCTGCACCAGAAATTGGATTTCGCACACAAAATTTAATGGAAATTATTAAATTTATTCTTTGTTGAATAATTTCACTCATTGTAAAAATCACCGAATGCACTTATTGTACCTCAGAAAGATAAGCGTATACTAATCACTAATGATTATTATGATGTGACATTTGGCACAGATGTCACTGACAGTCTTATCAAACTAGAAAAAAAATATTTCGACGAATGGGTATCCGCGCGAAATTTAAATTAAAAAGTCTAACTACTTTTTATCCACAGTAGTATACCTATTAAATTGGGTATACCTAAGTTATTTATAAAAAAATCATTTTGATTATAAATTCATTACTTAAAAATCTAAAACAGTTTTGAAAATGTCGAAATTTATCGATTTTAAAAATCATTATTTTATTATGGATTTTACCCATTTACAGAAAACGAGTGAAATTTATTCAACTTTTCAGGATAATATCTTAAACTAAATACAATTTCTGTTATTTTGATGAACCGTTAGGTAAAATCGGTTCTGAGAACCTGAGAACTATTTGATCGATCGCATCATTGAACTAGTTTGGAAATTTTTGAATTGAGTGTTAGGGGTTTGTTTAATAGTTGAGGATCTTGGTCAAAACCAAGAATCGGAAGCTACCCGACGTCTGCCCAAATATTGTCCCTATCTCCTTAAATGAGTTTTAATTGCCTGAAGGAGACACAGACAATCGTGTACCTTAGTTACAGGGGATAGATTATTAAATAAAATTAGACTATTGTTTTATGTCAACGACAAAGTAAAGTTATATTTTAGATGTTCAGTAAATATAAGTTATATGTAATGTACAATACGTCTGACCTGAATCCTAGTACAGTTGGTTAGCAGGTATATCCAAGTGAGACGGAGTTGGTTGACTATGATGATAATTGGCGATAGACGGGTCGTTGAATAAAACAAGTAAAGTTATAAATAATATAAATATGACGAAAGTAATAATATTGAAAATTATGTCTATAACGGCCACTCAAACACAACTGCCCTTTGTTAGTTCGACGTCAGTAGCTCCGGACTACCGACGAGTAGAATTGTCACATCAGCATCTCCCTCTATGCTAATTAATATGTATTACGAATTAAATAAATATAATTAAAACGTGTGTAATATAAGTGGTAAGATCATAGTAATAAGTGTTCTTACATTACCCTCTCCCCTATTAAAGGTTCGACTCTGAACCTTATAAAAGGTCAAAATATTAAGAAAAAGAGAAAAGAAAGAAGAAGAAAAAAAA